CCCCAAAACCCCAAAACCCCAAAACCCCTCAGATTTCCCAAAATATTGACCTTTATTAAAAATGTTCATTTCTTGAGCTGTTCTTTTCTGTTGAAAACCCAATGACTGTCTTAGGAGCAAAAGCTATATATAAATGTTAAAATTTTACTCTTGTTCATCCATTCATGAGGTTTTAGCTTCTGCTGAAAAGCAGGAGCTCTTTTCAGCTTTATCATATCTATAAAGATTAGAGATAATTATAAGGCTAGAATACCTGATACTTGACTTCTTTCTTGACTGTTAGCATTTCTCACTGTGCTTCTTAGCTTGTACTTTCTTAATGTCAAGATTGGTTCTTTAATACTATCAGAGTTAGAGATTCTTCAAGATATTACCTTTTGTTTGGAAGACCTTTCTTTATAGCTTCAAATAAATTTCCTCTAGCCGTTACAGTCTTAAGATTTCTGAAAGTTAAATTAAGAAATACTTGTCCTCTCCGGTTCAGATACTACTTGTTCCAAATGCTCCTAGACTCCTCTCCTGACTTCTGGCGTTATGAACAAAAATTTCTCTAACATCTTGTGCATCAACAATGCTCTTAGCTAAACTTATGAGAGTTTCAATAATACAGAATGGGCTGAGGGATACATCCACTGTACTTTTGCGGCCAAGTTCTACAACATAAAGCCTAATAATAGTACTTTCAATGAGTTCTTCTTTCATTTTCTCCATCAAAATTCTTACTTCCTTCCTATCTTTGTACTTGCTCTTCTTCCAGTGGTCAAAATCAAGCTTGAGTTCATCTAGAGAGTTCACAAAATTCTTCAGAGATTATAAATACATACCAATGTTCATCTGGAGTTCTTCCATCAAGATTTTCATCTTATCTGTATATTTGGTAGCTATGGATATACCTAGAAAGTTTAGATGGGAATTACAATTTTCCTCAGATTGAGCAATGGAAGCTGAAAGCTGAGCCATCATATCAGTGATAACTCCTTCTGTAGGAGCCACCTCCTGCTTAGGAGGAAGCTCCCTAGGGGAGCTTCCTCAAGGAGTTGCTGATTCTGAAGCAACTACTGATTTTAACTCTTCAGGAAATTTCTCTATCTTTTTACTCAAGCGGTCATCACATTCTATTTTCCTTGCAATTTTAGAGACAATGAGCCTGGTCTTCCTATGCTTCTCCATTATTTGGGAGATCTTTGAGTTCAATGTAGATATTTGCGCGACTCAATTTGCTAATGTAGACTTTATTACAAAATCATGAGAAGTTTTCCTATTCTCATATGAGTTACAGGTGTGAGATTTTAATGACTCATTATGGCTCAGAGAAGGATTTTCAGGTTTTCCTCCATACCTCACAGGAGTTGGATGCATTCTGACTGTGGATATTTCAGATTTGTCATGCTTTTCACTATCCATCACTTTCACACTACTTTTGATTTCTTCTTCATCAGACTCTGAGCTAAATGCAGAAAGTGCACTTTGTGATTGTTTATCAAAATCACTCTCCTTTTTCAAAGCCATTCTTTTTAAACGTCCTCTATCCTGGGAGATCTTTTGAGATGCTAGGCCGTCTTCATCTTCAGAGTCGAACATGAAATTTCTACGTGCGTAATCCATACTTCTAAACCATAAGAATTTACCATACTTCTCTATATGAGCTTCAATTTCTTTCTGTATAATGTCTTTCAATTTATTAAGTTCTTTCTTATGCTCGTCAGCATTGCTTTGGATCTAAACCATTGACCAAAAGGAGGCATACCATCTTCGCTGCTTGTTCAAATTGCTCCTCTTGAGTCCTCTGGGCATCGGCTTTGGCTTGAACAAACTTGTTGGATATCTCTATTAGTAACTTCTCGTGGAGACTATCGAACAGGCCATCTTGTAACTTCTCTTTATGTTCAGAATTAATCTTATCAATGTTTCGATGGAACCTAGTCATCTGGTCTACAAGATATTTCATATCCATCCGGATATCACTAGTTTTCTTCTCAAAATCATTTTTAGTCATTGCTGACGAAATGATAGGGTCCAACAAACTTTTGTAGTGCAGCATTTCCTGTCTCACTCTTTCTGATTGTGAGTTTATTTCAGAGAGAACACTCTTTTGATTATTCAGGTGAAAGCTTAAGGAGTCCTTGTCGTTGGATAATAAGTCCACTCTTAACTTCATCTGGTCTATTAGCTTCCTTGTTTCGACTATATTTAAGGATGAGTCCAGAAAATACTATTGGATTTAACAATATCTTCATTTAGGTTCGACCGCATCATGATCAGTTTCTTAGAAACAGCATCATGGTCTTTCCTTCGATTATCAATTTTTTCAGCTAGCTCAGCAACAAGATTCTCTAAGGCTTTGGTTTTATCAGTCTGCTTGGTATTGAGCAAGAGCTGGTCCTCAAATTTAGTATTGTTCTTTTCGTTCTGTTGAAACATTGTGCCATCGCTACAATAAAAACATAACGCTTACATAATCTGAAATTTATTCTGTACACTTGTATTCATGCGTTCAAGGTAGCGCACTTTGTCAGTTAAGGCTTCAAACCCGATGATTTTGGATTCATGCTTCTCTACCTTGATCTTCATGAGCTCTACCTCGTTGCAGAGGTAGGTTTCACGTTGGAGGAAGGGCTCTACCAGGTTCTTAACTGCGTCTCTCATCTATGATGGTGTTCATAATCCTACTTTGTTTTCTAGATCAAAACCATTCATTGTTTTCTCGATCTCAGCCTTATTTGATTCAATTCTAGACAGATTATAAGGGTAAAGTACAAAGCAGCTGTTGAGAAATCTCCTTCAGGGTTTTCTGAGAAGCTCTTGTCCATTTTTCAATATTTTCAAATAATTTTGGGGTTTTGGGGTTTTGGGGTTTTGGGGTTTTGGGG